TGAAATTATTTGAAGATAAATGAGTCTGAGAAAATGTTTAAGATTACCTCAGAACTACCTCAACATCACTGATACAAAGTAAGAAGCTTTTTCAGAAATTATAAAAATGTGATAAACCTGGTTTTAAAAGATGGCACTTATTAGGGATAGGAAAGGAGGAGGCAGTGTCTTCCTATGTAGTTGACACTGTAATGGAATGCCGTGAGTACCTACATAGCCCAGGCTAGCTTTAAGCACATACTCCTGGGATTATAAGTGTGCACTACCATACCCCACTAAAGACATTCTTTTTAAAGAGTTATTTTATTTGCATGTGGCTATATGTGCTGGTGCCTGTGGAAAGAAAAAGCGGGGCTAGGGATCCCTTGGAGCTGGAATTACAGGCATTTGTGAGCTTCCCCATAGGGTGCTGAGATCTGAACTCCAGTCCCCAGATAGAACAGTAGGCTCTCTTAACTGCTGAAGACACCTCTCCAGCCCCCTACTAAAAACATTAAGCTTTCAACATTATGTCTAAACCTTTGTAGATGATTTAGTTAATACTTTATTTTTGCTAATGTTACACTTCAATTCCTATTAGAATACACATTTAACAATTAATCTTTATAAAATATACTTACTTTAAGCCAGGCATGGTGGCAAATGCTTTTAATCCCAGCACTGGGAAGGCAGAGGCAGGCGGATCTCTGTGAGATGGAGGTCAGCCTGTTGTACACAGTGAGTTCCAGTCCAGCTGTGGCTGCAGGGAAACCCTATCTCAAAAAGACCAAAAAAAACCCAAAACAAACCTTACTTTAATGAACATTTAACATCTTTATTTTGTGAATATTATTCCATTAGGTATTTATATATTTAGATATCAGAAACTAAATAGTTTCACTGATGTCTTTTGATGACAGAATACCACCACCAAAAAAAAAAAAATGGAGTACCATAGCCATCATTTCATTCAAAGGTTATCCTGAGTCGGTGCTCACAGCTGATGGCTTCAATCATAGCTGTGAAGAGTCTGCCATCAGGATGTGAATGGAATGGAGTAGGACTGTGGCCTAAGAAAACGGAGAAAGGATGAAAGGATTCTGGTGGAAGTATTCTCAGATAAATAAGTACAAGAAATCCAAGAAACAGGGGAGACACTAAAGAAGGACCTGGGCAGGATCAGGCAGCGGGGTTTGTGTTTTTATCAACTGTGCTAGGCAACCAGGATAGTTCTTTGAATTCCAGAATACAGGATCCTCCCCAACCAAGAGTTGTGCTTCCTGTACACACACTCTAGGAAGAAAACAAAACTAAGAAAGTCACTAGAAATATAAAGGGCATAAAAACTGGGGTTTATTCATGACCATAGTTCAAAGCTAACTCTTGCCTCAGGCTCCCAAGTGCTGGAACTGCAGCTGCGTATCAGCACACCTAAAAGAAAAAGCACACCCAAAATACACAGAGAGCCCTATTCGGAAGTTCAAGCACTGCACCTGAAAGCATCCAGTAAGATACAACTACATACTTCTACTGTCTCTCCCACCTGAATGTCTGCCAATGAAAACGGGATTCCCCTTCCATTTTCAGAGGTCCACTCTCACTCAGTGGCATCAACAGGAAAAATTTAAAGAGGCTATACGCTTTTAAGACAACCACCGCCTGTAGTTGCAGAGTCAACAGAAACCCAGATACTCAACAAAGCTGAACCCTTGCTTATGTGGTTATTAAACTGTACTTTGATCATTTATGTCACTGGATATAAGCAAATGATACTTCTATTATACAGTTTAAGGAACAAATCGAAGAAAAATATCTTTCAATATACTATAGTACTACAAAAAATGAGTCACATCAAAAAGTTGGAAGATGTAATTAAAATGAGATAATTATTTTTGCTGTGATATATAAGAAATTATCATCAATGCCTAATGGAAAGAACCACCAAAATATGTGAAAAGGAAAAATCATAAGGTGTCTGCACCTTCCCTCCACCCCTAGTTGAAAGACAACTATCCATGAGACCACTGTGGCCAACGTTTCTACCAGTAACCTTTGTTTTGTTTGGCGAGTTTTCTTCCCAAGATCCTAAAAAAGATTAACAGCTATAGCTATTTCTACCTACCACTATTTCTGTCTTAAAAATCATAAGACTAAAAGTTCCATGAAATGCCTAGAAAGCTACACTCTCACATCTACCTCTGATGCTGAGGTAGATGGCAGCAGGCTAAACAATGCACTCTAAGAATAAAGTTCCTGAATCAGCATTTCAGTGCCATATCAGAAGTGGAACTGTAGGGCAGGGACAGACAGCCAGACCATGGCAGGCACCACCATCTGAATGGCAGCTCTGCTGCTGGATCTATGACTGGTGGAAGCAGGGTAAGCAGAAGAGGAAGCCCCCTTTATCCAATGTCATTTCTTACTCAAGTCCCTGGCCAGTTCCTCCCACATTTCTAAACCTGCCACAGGATTTGCATTAAGTATTTGTTATCAGGGGCATTTATTACTCCTGAGTTCAAATTCTCTCTCTCTCTCTCTCTCTCTCTCTCTCTCTCTCTCTCTCTGAAACTTTACAAAGAGTTCTAGAATTCATAGCTATATAATCAGCTTAGTTCAATTTTTCTAAGCAAAAACCAATCCATTAGTGGACAGAATCACATTTCAGGCAGAAGATGATAAAATCTTGAGTTTTAAGTTCATCTAGCAAATCCTTTAGCAACTGAAAAAAAGAAGTCTGGATATATACCATGACAATTTTTTTTTTTTGTGCTTGAGTTCATTCTGCAGCCACTTTTTCCATAAAGGTATTTAAAACCTCATGACAAGAACTGAGTGCAAAACCCTAGGTTTCTTAATAAACAATTATTTAGCAAACACCAAAAAATATGCAAAATCTTAGGAAAGACACAAAGATAAGTAAAATGCAAACGTGCTCAAGCATGAGCAAGCCAGACTGGACACACTAAACATGTACACAGGTTAGAAGAAACCAAGGCAGGGGGCCTGGAGAGATGGCTCAGGGGTAAAGAGCAATGACTGCTCTTGCAGAGGACCCGGGTTCGAGTCCCAGAACCCACATAGCCACCAACCCTTTGTAACTCCAGTTCCAGGGGATCCCTTCTTCTGACCTCCATGGGCTCTGCATAACATGGGTGCACTTACACATACACAGGCAATACACTCATACACATAAGAATATTTTTGAAAAAAAGAAGAAACCAAGGCAGTGTGTGAGTGTAAAAACAGATACAAGGTTAAATGTCCCCAAAAGGTGGCAAGGGAAAAGGAGGCATCAAGATTAAAAGCTTCCATCAACATGCTATCTATCAACCACTAAAAGCCATTAGCAAGTCAAACAAATGGCTAATAGTAGTCCCCAAGACAATGACGGGGAGGAGCACCTGGTAATTACATAAGGCTCAGGGATCTGGTTTCTAACTGGGGTTCTGCTAGGAATTAGGTTCTAGTTCTGTACTTATGTTCCCAAACCTAGATTTCCCCAGCCACAAACAGGAAATGTCACCTGCTTAACAGGGTGAAATGAGGGTGAAATCAGCTCCCTGAATCTTAACTTCACAATAATTAAGTCTAACATGGTGTGATTACTCAATTTCTTCCTGCGTACTTCCAGTAAGAATTCATTCTTTAACAAGATTCACTACTATGTTCTGGATAGGTGGTTCTTAGAAAGCTCTTGCTGTGTAAAATCAAAATCAGAATCTCAGAAATTTCCATCCTTTGGAAAACACAGAAAAACAAAAAAACACAAAGAACTGGAAAAGTAAAACAACAAAGTCAAATGGTGCAAATAAATGAAAAGTCACACTACTCAGGAGATCACATCTTAGAAGGACAACTTGGGAAAGGCTCCAGAGGAGGTATTTGCTGATTCTTGCAGATGGGAAGAGTTCTGACCTGCAGGCTTCAAGCTAATCTGTTGGAAAGTCTTTGTTTGAGAGACTGGTAAGGGAGCACATGTCAAGTCCCAGAGAGTTCTGGAAGCGTTGCTTTAGAGAACAGGATATAAGTCAGGGAGTGGTGGCTCCCTAAAAGGCCTGGGGTTAGTTAGTTGAAACCAAGTTATGAAGAAACCTGAATATCCATCCTGCCACATGGCTGAACTGAATTCAGTCAATACAGGGCCATTCACTGAAAAAGTCTGAAAAGACGGTAGAATTCGATGTTCAGAATTAGGTGGCACATACTGAGGTGGAAGTGGGGAACTGAATGCCAAAGTGGCCTCTTCTAAGGCACAGTAAAGAATTCCAAAACTTGGGAGTCAAAATTGGAAATACAGAGCCTAAGACAGAGGAAAGTGACTAAGAAAAGGGAGATTCTGTTAACATAAATTGAAATGTTAATTTACATCTATTCAGTGAAGGCCGGACAAAATAAAGGATCCTGGTTTATGTATAAATGCAGTTTTGATGTCCCCCCTCTGCAGCAGCACACTAACCTCAGACATATGATTCAGTGTTCCTAAGAGCCACGTTCTGCAAGCCAAAGCACGTTTTAAAAAAGCGAGGATGGCTGTGCATAATCTCTATACATTGTGTTTCACAAAAACACACCACAGGGTGTTCCAAACAGGATTGGGGTGAGCAGCTTTTTAACAATGATACAGCCCATGTTGATGATGATCCTTGGGGAATCCAAAGTCTCCCTGCTGCTACGGCGTAAAAACTTTCTACTTGGGATGAGCATTTCCAGTCTTTCCAGCATGACCCATCTGATCACAAGATCGTCCATTCCGGATTAAGCATCTCGGTCGTGGGGACCTAGGGTTCACTGGGGGCTCCAGGCTGTGCTCTCCCTCTCCCCTCCCCCATAAGCAGCAGAGCGAGGCCAGGCGGCGCCAGGGAAAAGAGCGCGGTCCGTCGCCTCCTCCCCAAGAGCAGGGGCCGGCTCCCCTCCCCCAGCCAGCCCGGAAAGAGGGCGGCGCTGCGAGCTGCCGGAGCTTGGTACCCGGACCCGCCCCACAGCCTCGCCCGCCCCATCCCCACCCGCTCCGGCCCGCTCACCTCCGCCCGGGCCGGCTCGGGGCCCTGCACTGCCGCCGGCTGAGGTTGCAGCTGCTGGGCTGGCGCCTGCGGCTCCGGGTTCCGGTGGCTCAGGTCTTCCTCAGGACCCGCCCGGACCCCGGCCGGGACCCAGAGCAGCGGAAGCAGGAGGAGCACGAGCAGCCGCGGCGTCGATGCCCAGCCGCTCCCCTGGGCCGCGGCCGCCATCCCGCCCGCCCAGCCGGCACCCACGCTGCGGCAGGAGGAAGCGCGGGCGAAGGGAAAGCCTGGCCCACGATCGCCGAGGAGGCAGACCTGTCAGGCCTCGCAGCCGCTCAGCTGGCAGCCCAAACCACGCGGGGCGCCGAGGCGCGGGGTAGGCGGGGGCAGCCGGTCCGCCGCAGCCGGCCAGCAGTCCTCACTCTCCTCCAACTGCCTCCGCCGCCCAACTCCTTTGGCCCCGCCCCCGGGCCGCACGACCTCCCATTGGCCAGACGTCGGCCTCGGCGGCGTCGTGACGTGTACGACAGGGAGAGGCGCGGCTCCTGCGCTCCGCCCATTGGACCGGGTGCTCCAGGCAGGTACCGGCTAGGTACGGGGTACCTGCTGTGGATCCTCCTCGCATCCTTCCGGGCCCACCTGCGATCCCCTTGCCTGTCTCGGCCCCGCGGTCCCGGGACTGTCCGGCTCCTACCAAGCCTTCCTCCCGAGCCTTCAGCTCTCGGAGGCATAGCCGCCTTCCCCTACTCCTATTAAATCTCAAAAGCGACCCAGCCCCGTTACTTACGTGGCACTGGCTTGCAGGAACTGCCACACCTAGGCTGGATTCCGCCCATCCTACTCGGGTCCCAGCACTAACCTCAGCGCGACGACCTTCTGCAGAGAAGGTTCTTCTTCGGGGGTCCACATACTAGTTTTTTTTTTTTTTTTAAGTTCTGATATGAGCTTCAGAAATAAAATGCAGTCAAGTTTTAAGACATTGATCGCCTAGAAATACCCGCAGGCCAAAAGCGTCTAAGGTGGTCTTTGTCCTAAAATGTCTCTCTCTTCTGGATGTCCTGGTTTTGTGCTGCACCGGGTACTGCCCTGTTAAAATGCTTGGCTTTTGAAATAGAGTGTTTAGGGCTTCTGGAGGACGAAGGTGTTGGTGGCAAGACCAGACGACAGGAAAGGTTTTTAGTTAGGCTCTAAAATAGGATTATATTTTATGACAGAAAATGTGAGCTAATTAAATGCCAGAAGTTACACACACACACACACACACACACACACACACACACACACACAGAAAGTGCTGTGTGCCAGTCACAATCCTAAATCCTATTCTTATTTCCACAGCCCCATCCTGTAGACTGTCCTTAGTCCTCTCAACATCTCCTCTTACAGAATGCACCACTTCTGCCTTAAGATTATAGATTATACATGTGCCTGGTGTGGTGAAGTAACCAGAATGCCTTCTACACATAGGTTGGGGTGCAACTACTGTACCTCCAGTTCATCCCTGGAGAAAAAAATTTGAGCCCTCTTAATAAGAAAAGCAGAAGTCCAGACTCCTTCAGCCACTTCTCTTTTCTGCATACAAGATTCGCCTTGCTCAAGAGGACCTGTAAGGGAGAATGGAGGGACAACCAGAGGGACTGCACAGATGGGGCTCAGTAGATAAAGGGAAAAGGGAAAATGTGACAAACCCAGCCGTGTGTCTCTGATTTCTTCAAGGGGCTAGGCTTGTTTTCTGGAGTTAGTTGCCCACATTTCAGGGCTCTCTCAGAGAAAGAGCTCCTATACCTCACATAGATAAAGGCAGAGAGGCTCGTAGACTAAAGCTGCAGGGCACTGAGATGTTGGCTGTAGAGGTCCAGGGGCTGGGGCAAAGCAGGAAATCTGTTGAGCCAAGATGTAAAGCAAGTGGTGATAAAACATTATCCCCAGAGGATAACTGGCACCATGGGTTAGAACAGTGTTAGAGCCTGGAGAGAGTGGGATTTTCCCAGCCTGCTCAGTGTGGTCCAGCTCCCAGCCCTCACTGGGGCTCTGCTAGGTGTCAGATTCCAAAGTGCTCAACTCTTTCTATGCTGCACACAGCTATCTCCTGGGCTCATGCTCTGTGTCAAATCAGGACTAGATCTGGTTTTCACTCCCTGGAGGACTTAGAACCATTATCTTTCTAATATTTACCAGTGACTAACTCTCTTTAATAAAAATGTCTATAAACATGGTTTGTTGTTGTTGTTTTGAGGTACTGGGGATTGAATCCTGGCCTTATGTATACCAGGCAAGTGTTCTACCTCTGTGCTACATCCACAGCCCTTTTGACATCTTTTTTGTAAGAATAACTTCCACTGCTCATTTGACATCTACCCACTAAGGGTAGAGGAAGCCTAGTAATCCCAAGATAAGTTTTTTGGCACTGACCTACTTAGATGTAGTCTCCCTAAGGTATAATCATTAGCAGACACCCTTACAGCAAGAAACCCTACTGTTCTCACAGTGCACTCTAGGTAAGGTGTGTACTGGGTATTAAATCAAGGGCCTTGTATATGGGCGAACAGAGACTCTGCCACTAGGCCACACCTCCCAGCCTTTTCAAATGGTTTTTATTCCTATATTGTGTTAGTTTTCCATTACTGTAACAAATACCAGACATAATCAATATATGAAGAGAAACTGTAACAAACACCTGAGATAATATTCATACAAAGAGATAATGTATGAAGCGCCTTTTAAAAAGGTTTTTAACCCCATGTTGTTACAACACCCAAGATAATATATGAGGAGCCAATATGTTGGTTCACAGTTTGGGTGATTTCAGACCATGATCAATTGGCCCTGATGTTTGGGGTCCTGTGGTGAGGCAGCACAAGATGGTAGCAAGTGTGTGGTGTAACAAAGTAGCTCACCTCAGGGCTAGAAAGTGAAAAGGCATTCTGCTATCTCTGTTTAAAAAACATTTTTTACTTATTCTTTAAAATTTTCATACTATATACAATGTATTTTAATCATATCCTCTCCCAACTTCATGTCCTTTCTTCTTCTTTTAAAATATGACCCACTGAGTCCAGTTAGTGTTGCCTGTATGCACACGTATATGGAGCCATCCAGTGAGGCATACCAACCACCAAATGCCACGTATATATGAAAAACTATAGCTAACATTATGCTAATGAAGAAAAATTCAAGGCATTCCCACTAAGATTGGAACAAGATAGGGGTGTCTATTCTTTACATCTCTATTCAGTATAGTGTTTGAAATCTTAGCTAGAGCAATAAGGCAAGAGAAAGAAATAAAAGGGTTACAAATAGGAAAAGAAGTAAAAGTATCCCTATTTGCAGATGATATGATATGATTCTATACACAAGAGAGTCTAAAGACTCCACCAAAATCAAACAACTCTTATAGCTGATAAATACTTTCAGCAAACTGGCAGGATACAAAGCACAAAAATCAGTCATCTCCATATTATACCGATAACAAGCATGCAAAAAGATATCAGGGAAACAATCCCATTCACAATAGACACAAAACAAATACCTGGGAATAAACATAACCGAAGAAATGAAAGACCACTACAATGAAAACTCTGTGACACTGAAGAAATTGAGGAATACATTAGAAGATAGAAAGACCCCTCTCGTACTACCCATGCCACCAGTCACCAGAAGGCCTCCCCCTAGGCCCCAGATCTTAAAGTTCCTATCCCCTCCCAACAGCACCAAGCTGGGGGCCAAGCATTGACACATGGGCCTTTGGGCAACACTTTAAGAATCAAGCTGTAGCATTCATCTTAATGGTCCTCAGGGCTTCTAGATGCTAAGATTGTGCCTTCTATCGTCATAGTCCCAGCCCCTAGCACATTATCTAATGGGGGTGGTAGCTGTTACCATTATAGTAGCAGCAAACCTTTATCAACTGCTTATTCTGACCCAGACAGGGCAGTTGGTAAGTTATCTCATGAAGTCAGTACTAACTTCTTTTTTTTTCACAGATAAGAAGTTAGATCATTTAATTTATGTCTTATAGGGTTTATACTGAGTATAATATTGTATAACTGTAATAATTCAACTGTAAACCTAAAAATTTACAGCCAATTTTGAAAGAGATGCATCCTACCTCAGGAAACCGTTATTGAATATGTCAATTGTGTTGTAATGATATGCTTCTTCTAAGTATGTTGTTATTAAATAAATCATTTTTAAAAATTAAAAAAAAAGAAGTTAGATCAAAGAATGTTTCCCAAACTCCAATAGCAAGTGACAGAATTTTGCTCAATATCAGTTCATAGAATTTCATGATATCCTGCTTACTGAAAATCCAGTATATGAGAATTCAAACATAGTATCAGCCAGTTAATTCACAGCATGGATTGTCATTACCTGCTAAGAGGATGCCTTTTTCCCACCTTCAGTTTCTATAGGAAGAACTATTTCCTTGCCCCTTAACCATTGTACCTTGGTGACATAGAAGAAATGTGGAAGCAAAACTGGGCATATGGGACTCTCCCCAAAACATAGTTCCTTCTGGGGTTGCAGCCTGCTGCTTTCCAACACCTGGGTCAAACCTAGTGCTACGTTCCTCTGAATGAGAGCAGTTCTTGAATCTGGATGCCATTTGGCTACCACACCTAGAAACAACCACTCCTGACAGCCCAAGTTCAATACCCAGAATCCACATGGTAGAAAGAGAACCAACTCCTAAAAGTTATTATTTGACTTTCACGTGTTCTCTGTGGCACATGCAGTCACATACAAACATATACACACACATATACACGCATGCAGACAGAATAAATAATAAATGATAGACATAACAATTTTAAAATAAAACACCCACTATTTCCAAGCTTCCTTCTATCTGTATTCTCCTTGTTTACTTACTGAACTTTTCAGAAGTAGGGAACAGGCAACCTGTTTCCTAAGGGCACAAAGAGACTGCTCCAAAATCCCAGAATCGTCCACAAATGAATTAAAGTAATTTTGGGATGACTGTTTGTTTGTTTGTTCCTGCTTTAAACAGCCTGTAGAATAAAGATTGGTTGGAGAAAACACCAGGCAGAAAAAAATGAAGGTAGAGATGGGGAAGTAGAAACCAGTGTCACACTGAGTCAGCTAAAGATCATTCCCATAAACCTGGGGCTGTGTATCTCGTGAGCCTGTAGCTGTGGTCTCTTCCAGAAAGCCTGGAGCTATGCTCCCTTCCTGAGAGCCTTGGACTGTAGTAGCCTCCTGTGAACCTGAAGTTGTGGTCCCATCCCTAGAATGGTGACCTGTGGTCCCCCTCCTGAAAGCCTGATGCTG